AGTTCCATAAACTTCTTTGATATTCCTTATGGCTACAAAGGCATTGTTTCTCTTCTTGTATTCAAACAGCATTACATGCCGAATGTGTGTCTGATCGTGTGCCATTACTATAAGGGATTAGAGTATACTAAACTTTACACATTATATAGGCTACAATAACGTGACGTTTAACTATTATACGTGATGTAAGTTTTCTGGGGGGTGGTTAATGAAAGTATTCCAAAACACAACATTAATTTCTTGACGACCTTTTGATATCCTTTTATTTATTCACGATTTGTGTTAATTTATAGTCGGTGATTTCTTCCCACATTTTTGCAAATAGTAAGGTCAAACTTGACAGGCGAATTCAACGTGGCCCTGAGGTGTCCTTATTTATATGACGGGAATATTTATATGCCCCATAGGGGGCATCCAGGTATAATGGTGGTCTAGAAGTAGGTCTTTAGAACAACAGAGCCTGAAGCTGGAGTAAGATTGTATATTACTAGCCCTAATCGGGATTTTGGGAGTACCATTTTCTAAACTGTGTTCGTACCCGAACTCAAAAGCATGGGGACTTTTGTGGGGGACGTCTGATCCCCCCAGTAGAGGTACGGAAATAGCAGTTAAAAATGGTCTTCAAAATACCAAACTATTTATGTAAATATTTATATCAAATCAATGAGAATATCACATTTTCATTAAGTGACGATCGTTAAAAACGCTTGAAGTAATTATATTTATACATGTGTTTATATTTTTTCTAATCCTCTTTGTAACAGTATTTTTAACCAGTTAGGAGGCAAAGTAAAAATAAAAAATATGTGATGGAAAAAAAATTATGAAACATATTGCAAAAATGACAATTTTCCTCTTAAGTTTGTTAATTTGTTTTGAATTTCGCGCAAAGCTACACGAGGGCTCTCTGCGCTAGCTGTCCCTAATTTAGCAGTGTAACACTAGAGGGAAGGCAGCTAGTCATCACCACCCACCGCCAACTCTTGGGCTACTCTTTTACCAACGAATAGTGGGATTGACCGTCACATTATAACGCCCCCACGGCTGAAAGGGCGAGCACGTTTGGTGAAACGGGGATTCGAACTACGTCCACTTAACCTATTGAGATTCTGTTATGTTTTCTTTTAAAACAAACAAACAAACTTCACACATACAAAAATATCGAGATTAAAATCATGCAACACAGATATTTTCCAATGCTTAATAGCTTATAATTTATTTTTTCATTCGAAATAATACATTTTGAGTACTTCTATCAGTTTCTAAAAATAACATGTTAGTGAATCACGGAATATTTTAGTCATTGTTAAAAAAAACATTAAGAGTTTACATTCTCTTTGTGGCTTTATTGTTCAACTGGACAGTTCTGTTCATTGTTTTGACCATTTGGAGAGCACGTGACATATTTAGACGAATCACGAACTAAACTGCTAAACTTGGTTTTTGTTCTTCTTTCTTAGAAACTGAAAATGAAATATTTTTTTTTAAACGTTCGTTTATTAAGAAGTGCTTTGTTAGGCTTATGACGTAACGAGAACAATACAAAAGTTACTCGAGCTTATTTATATTTTATTAACGTGATTACTGTTAAACGTACCCAAATATAAGTCTAAAAATATTGATTACTAAACAGTAAAAACAAAAACCTAAAGCTACACAATTTTTTTTCTGAAAAGTAAAGTAAATTTGACGAAGGAACAGACAACGATATTCTGAATTTACTTTAAGTAATATTCATTATTGGAATGCATAGATAAAACAAAATCAAACAGTGATTCTACTGTTTATCGTACAAATTATAAGTAATTCTCTTTAAATAAATCGATCTATAAACAACCAGTTACGGTCAGTGGTGTAACTACAATTTTGCCCCCTGCAAAAATTTATAAGCCCCCCCCCCAAGATATAAACAAAAAATAAATTTACTATACTGTTTGGCTTTAGTTATGCCTCCTGAGCTCTTGCCTCCTCCCCTGTATTGCGGGCTTTGTTGCATGGTTAGTTACACCACTGGTTTCAGTGTAGACTAACTATAAACTCGTTTATTGCTTTTGTAAAAAAATTCCATCTACTATACCTGCTAGGGAACAGTCACTATTGTGAAGCATGTCACACTCCATCTTGATGACGTTAAACACGAGTCCAGCCGGACATGTTTTCTTACATGCTATGCCTTCTCCAGTGCATTCGTAGAAGGAACTACAATCGTTTGGATCGGCCACTCGGCAGGCACAGGATGGACACTTGATATTATGGATAGGGATGCAGGCTGGTGAATCTGAAAGGGATTAAAAGTAGCGATAATTCTTGTAGCAACACTTGAAGTATTTTCAACATTTGTAATCAAAAGTTATTAGATTTATCTTATTTCCCCTCCTCCTAACTTGCCCTAGTGGCTCAGCGGTAAGTACAAAGGTTCATACGGCTAAAAAGAGGGTTTTGTTACTCGTGCTGGACACAGCACAGATAAGACTATCGTGTAGCTTTGTGTTTAACAACAAACAAAATTGTCTTACTTATTTGACTTATAATTTTGCTGTTTTGTTTGAGATGTTTTAGTCTTACTGTTTAATAAGAACCCTCCCCCCCCCCCCGTAGGCATGGCATGGCAGGGTGGATAGGCATGGTGTTGACTAGATGCCTTTCCTCTAGTCTATCACTTCTAAGTTAGGGATAGTAACCCAACAGTTGGTGGTGTTGACTAGATGCCTTCCCTCTAGTCTATCACTTCTAAGTTAGGGATAGTAACCCAACAGTTGATGGTGTTGACTAGATGCCTTCCCTCTAGTCTATCACTTCTAAAAATAGCAAATATATCCCTTATGTGCAAAATATGAAAGAAAACAAACAAACGAAGCCCCCTGGCGGCTTAATGGTAAGTCTGAGGGTTTATAGCACTAAAGATCAAGTTGCAATATCCGCGGTGGGCAGATCATAGACAACTCATTGTATAGTAATGGGTTTAATAACAAACAGAAAAAAAAATGAACAAGAAAAGGTAATAAAACTCAGTTATTATCGGTTAACAGTACCTGTTACAATTCCGCACTTCCGAACGTTCCTTGGCCAATCACAGACTTGTAGATAAGGGTTAAAGTAAAGAGATGCAGGACAGGTTTTCAAGTAAGCAATACCGTTCGAACAGTGATAGAATTTGGTACAGTCGCCTTCTTTTGGAAAGAGTCCGTTCAAGGTTGTACATACGGGACTTTTTTCCCATTCACCTGTTTGATAAAAGAAGAAAGAATTGAGCAAAAAAAAAAAGAAAAAAGTGTTCTAAACGCCATCTGGTGGATATTGAATGATGGCTTATTATGTAATAAAATATACGACACATTTTTTATTTAGTTCGGAATTAGTATAAAATGAGGTATTTTATCTTTTATCAAAATAAAGATATAAAAGGTACAATGGTTAAGAAATGAAATTGAAACTATATATTTACCACATCCACTGCCAGAGGCCACACAGAATAGTCTTAACCTATCAAATGTGTGGCCCTTAGGACATTCCGTGATGAAGGCGATACCATTGATACATTCGACATACTTCTTACAGTTTCCAGGAAAGATAAACTTGCCATTGGGCCATTTACAAAGAATAGGATCTCCAATGTCTCTGCATTGAACGTTTTCCAGGTAGTCACAGACCTTAGTGATCCTGTTGAAATAGAGACCAGTAGGACAATACATCTTCACTCGTCTCCCATCTTCACATTTAAAATAGGCTCTGCAATCGAAGGGATCTTCTGAGATACACTTGGAGCAAGGACACCAGGGATCTGGCTTTTGAGTTGTAGAAGGCTTGCAGGCTGAAAAACAATGACTATTGGATAACGACCGGAAAGTTTTGAATTTATATTAAGTTCATTATTGTTTTATAGTGCTGATTTTGATCGCCTATTGACAATGTATTTGATATAATCATTTTGAAGCTATATTATTATATTCTTCTTATTATTATTGCAACCACATATATCCCAAATTGTCATTATTGTCTAACAATTAAGTACAGAAACCATTTTCACTCAACACCTACTTGGAACAGATGGATCGCATTTGGCGACACACGGCCACTCACACCTGTTTCTTTCTACGCTCCAGTGTAAGTTGGCTGGACAGTCCTTAAAATAAGGGATTCCATTTGAACAATGCCAGAAACTTCCACAGTCAAATACATTTTTGAACATTCCGTTCTGCGCTGGACAAATAAAGTACCAACAGCGAACGTTGTTTGGATGATCACATACTTTGGTATCTCTGTTAAAATAAAGACCAGAGGGACAGAAGATCAATTCTCGACGTCCATCTTTACAACGGTAATAAGCTGAACAGTTGAAGGGGTGAGGAGTTAGGCATCCGTTGCAGCCACAGTCATCTGATGTTGGGTCAATAGTACTTGGATCGGTTGGACAAGCTGAAATGATCATATAACGAAAACAAATATGATTAAGAATCTCAAATATTTTCATATTAATTTAATAAAATGGTCTTACACTCCGAAAGTAACTTAGGTTGAAGTTGTTTAAATTTTCCAGTTTTTACAATATGATAAAGTTGGAAGGATGAAAGATGTTGAGTAATTTGGGTTTTATTTAATTTCTAGCGTAACTGGTTGAAACATTTTTTTTTGTCTTTGTATTTATATTAAAACTTATTCCTACGTTGCTATAGGAATAGTATGT